AATTATTAACTATTTCTGAAAGTTGTGTTGTCTTTTACTGAAGGGAGGGTCTGGTTCCAACTGTTCTGGCAGTGGCCACATACAGAGCTAGAAAATTTCTACCTGCACAAAGCTGTAAAAGAAAAGCCAGTGAAGTTAAGTACGAAATAGTACATACATAAGACAGCAGTGTTATCTTTACATTGGGAGGGGGAAGAACAAAAATCCTGAGAGTTAAAATGCCTGGCTTACAAGTTCCATTCTGTAAAAAAGCTTGTAAGTTGAAATACTCTGAATCGTTCATTTGTACCTAAGAACCATCTTTTTTTGGAAATTAAATTGCTCCTGTTCCTTGGTCTTTCGACTTTCATCCTTCCCAGGCCCTCCTTTGGGGCCCTATTTTCCTCTAAAACTCCTGGTATTGGGATACATGAAAGGTTTGCATAGTGCTGGCTTCATTCTGCACTGCTCTTCTGGGCAGTGCGTCACGTGGACGGCTGCATGTCTTGAGGAGCCTGCCTTCTGCCTGCGCCTCTGACCACCTGCTCCTCTGCTCGCTGTCAGACATCAAGTGGTCATCTCACAGGCACTGCAAGTCCATCTTGCCCACGATGAGTCGAGTCGTCTCCTGTCGGCTCAGCCCTTCTCTGTACATGGCATCTTCTGTCCTACTGCCGAACAAACGTTGGGTGTTGTGCTCGGTTCGTCTTCCCATTGTCAAGCCCAGCGAAGTCACTCTGCCCTATCTACCTCTGGTCTTGCTCTTTTTCTTCATTGGCGCTGTCCACACCCTAGCTGTGGACCACAGCCTGCCCGTTCTTCACTGTGTGGCTGAGAGCTAATCCATTTTCCCATCTCCATTCCTGCCCTTTGCAGTCCCTTTTCTATCTCACAGCCTAAGTGGTCCTGGGCTCTATAAACAAGGTCCTGTCCCTCCAGCCTCAGCCATCCTCTTTGCTTAGAAGAGACAGTGACATCTTTGCCTGGTCCTGCCACACCCTGAGTGCCCCATTGGCCCTTTTAGCCCCTCTGGCTCTCTTCTCTCCTGCTCTTGGGCAAGGCTGTCTTTCTTTCGGTTTTCCCCACAGAAATAACTGGTGGTGACCATTTGCTTTTTTCAGCAGTGAAAGATCCCTAAAGCACCCAGGGTTCTCCCTGATGACATCCAGATCTCAACCACCCTAGGTGTCCTTCTGTATCTTTTTGTTTTCTTTCCCAGCCAGAAAAATGTATTAAGTCACAAATGTGTTCCTCCTCTGGAACTCTGCAGCTGTGGTTCCTGTGCATAGGGACCGCTCCGCCAAGTGAGATCCCTTTTCTTCTTCAGAAGTACTTTGGTTTTGGTCAATGGATCAATTGCCCTTTGATGGCCTGACATCATTCAAGAATTCTCACCTCTCTAGTTTGTCTTTCTAAGCACACTGCTTCAGCTGAGCTTCATTTTTGCTGATGTAAGTGCTGAAATGTAACATTTTTTCAATGATTCTTTAAGTATGTTTGTGTCATCAGAAATTTCCTATATCTTCTAATACATTCATTATAAAAACATTTATTTATGAAAGCTCTTAGAGGAGTCTGATAACTCCCATGTCTCAGGCATGTAATAAATTTTGTGTATCCTTTCCCCATTAACAAGAGAGAAAGTTCTTAGAAATAGTAGCTATTGTGTGTGAGCTGGCATTGCCCACAGAGCAAGGCTGGAGAGCAGTGCATTTCTCCTGAGTGTGTGCTATAAAAGGTACTTATTAGGACCAACATCTGTGTGTAGTAGTGTCTTACATGGTAGGAGGGCAAGGAAGATGAGGAGAAGGACAGAGAGGAAGAGGTGGAGGAGAACAAAGATGACATATTTGTATAGCTGAAGGAATACCATTAATATTTGAATTCTAGAACTTTCTCTAAATGCTTTAGAGTAGTTTGGATAGTTTGGGAATTGGCTTTTATAAAATAAGAACACATCACATCTTCTGAGCAGGAACAGATGCTCAGAATTTTTCATATAGTTGCTCATATGATCTAATATAAAGAGATGCATAGAAAAATGCCTGTAAGGTTGCAGTAAGCTGCTGATATTGATAAGCCTAAAGATGGGAAGTCGTAGAAAAATATACTCTCTCCTCCCCCATGTACATGCATCAGGGCACTGGGTAATCTGCTGTGATGAAGATTTCTAAATACATTGGTGTAAATTAAGATAGAAATGTATTAGCTTTCATGTAATATAGTCTTCCAGTCCGTGCTAGTGGGGTGGGTCAGCTTCATGAGGTCTTCCAAAGACACCCCCCACCTTGTGGCTGTGTTTCATTCCCCTTGACAAAGCTGAGTTCCCACCACATGAGGAATCTCACAGGAAGAGGGAATGAGAAGAAGTCTAGTAGGCGCTTTGTTTTATAAGCAAGTATAGCAGGCAAGGAGCGCTCGCTTTAGCTCGTGTTCCCATGTCTGGGAGTTAGTTTCAGCCTGGCTGCAGCTAGGTGAGGAGATACAGGCTGTGTCTGGGTGTCTTGCTCACGTAAATCTTGATTTCTGGGGGAACAGGAAAAAGGTTTTAGGGGAGCTAGCAGTGTATCTTAACATGCTTCTATATTTTCAAAAACTTCTACACATACTGTTATTAAAATTTTTAAAAATCTGTTGCATTCATGATGCAAAATTCAGATGGTGCCAACAATGCAGTGAAAAGGAAGCTGCCCTTCCTACCTCATTCCCCTACCCATATTTCTTCTCCTTGGAGAAAACTAGTGCTACCATTTATTGCCATTGTAGTTTGTAATTGTTAAACTTTACATTATTCAGCCTCCCTGGACCACAGTTTTCTTACTTTGAGGTACCTCGCGTTTCTTTGTGGTTTTCTCATTCCATAACTGGTTAATGGAAGTTTCCAAATCAGGTGTGCTCTCAGCTTCCTTCCTGTGGGATCTGATTGCCAGGTGAACGATAGATGAGGAATAAATGCTGACAGAAGATCAACACTGTTAAGACCCAGGAACAGATGTGGGCTGCCTTGGCCATGGACTGAGGGTTTTTGACTTTGTGAGCTACTTTTAAGGCCCTGTAATCAAGATGACCCAGGCTCTTCTTCATAAACCCTTCTGTGTCTTAGGACTCTCCCATGCACCCTGTGTATTTCTCTCGTAGCAGTTACCTAGTTTAACTTTACTTTGAAATAGTCATTATCTGCTAGGCTCAGTTTTTTTCTGCTGAGCACACATTTGTGGTCTCCCTCTCCACACACTCATTGAAGTACATTTGACATAAAATGAACTTCTAACATGTAAAGTGTTCAGTTTGATGATCACTGACACAGACACGTACAGCCATGTAACCATCATGACTAGATGCTGAACGTTTCTGTCTCCTCCAGAGGCTTCCTCAGGGTCTGGGTAATCCATGTCCCTGTTCTGTTGTGACCACATGATCTGCTTCCTGTTACTATAGTTTAGTTTGCATTTTCTCAAATTTGTTCTTAGTAATTTATACTGTATGCATTATTGTTGGTCTTGCCTCTTGAATTAGGTATAATTATTCTGAAATTCATCTGTGTTATTTTGTATGTTGATGACTCGTCTCTTTTTACTGCTGAATAGAATTCCACTGTTTGGAAAAATCACATTATATTAATCCATTCATTTATTTGTTGATGGACATTTAGATTTTTTCCAAGTTTTGATTATTACAAGTAAACTTGATATTAACCTTTGTGTGTAAGTCTTTGCGTAGCCATGTTTTTATTGAACTTGAAAATATTTAGGAGAGAATTGTCCAAATCATGAAATAAGGATGTGTTTAGCTTTTTCAGGAACTGCCAAACTATTTCAAAATAGGTGGACCATTTTATACTGCCACCTCCAGGTGGGGCCGTCCGGATTGTTCCCTGTCCTCACCAGCAGCCATGGTTTAATTTTTAGCCATGTGAATTGGTGTGTAGTGGCATCTCTTATTTTTGACAGTAATGATGCTGAACATTTTTCTATGCTTATTGGGCATTTTGCAAACTGTCTGTTTAGATCTTTTGCCCGTTTTTTTCTTTTTAAGCTTGGCTTGTTTGTTGTCTTATAAGATGTATTGTAAAAATGTTTTTTTTTTTAATAGTCCATGTTTCTTGTCTGACATATGGTGTTGTAAATATTTTTTCTCAGTCTGTGATTTGAAGCTCACTTTTTAAACTGTCTTTTTTTAATATTTTATTTTTTAGTTGTGGATGGACACAGTACCTTTATTTTATTTATTTATTATTATTTTTTAATGTGGTACTGAGAATCAAACTCAGTATCTCACATGTGCTGAACTATCTTTTGAAGAACAGACTTTAAATTTATTTTATTTTTATATATTTGTTTTTTGGTACTGGGGATTGAACCTGGGACTCTTCATCACTGGACTGCATCCCCAGCCCTTTTTATTTTGAGATCAGGTCTCACTAAGTTGCTAAGGCTGGCTTCAAACTTGTAATCCTCCTGCCACATCCTCCTGAGTTCCTGGGATTACAGGTTTATACCTATGTGCCCAGCAGACTTTACATTTAGATGCAATACAATTTGTTGATATTTTTATGGATCATTTTTTGTGTGACTGTGAATCTGCTTCCTACCCCAAGGTAACAAAAATTTTGTTTCTTTTATAAATCTTAAAAATAGTTTTAGACTTTTAAGACACATTTAGGTTTGTGATCCATTTTGAGTTGATTTTTGTCTCTGATGTGAATTGGAGTGAGGTTCAATTTCTTTCCCTCCCCGCCTTCCCAAGAGTATCTAGTTGTTCTAGTGCTATTTATTGGAAAGACATTATTTCCCAATTGAATCGACGGTAGCAAGCTGTTGAAGTTTTCAGTGGGTGTGGGTGTTTTAGTGCTACTTCATGTTCAGGGGTTTGCTGTTAAATTTGAGAGTCAAAGGGAAAAGTACTCTTGAGTGTTCTCCCTAGGCCATTGGACACTGATGATAAGTTTCTTCAAGTTACAAGAATTAGGTTTTTAGTTGACTCATTGTTTCCCAATTTAACCTATGTCATTTTATTTTTAGGTGTTACACATAATATCGCATTACTTCGAGAGGTGATAATCAATTCACGCTTTGTAAAAGGAGACATCAGTACTAAATTTCTGTCGGATGTATATCCTGATGGCTTTAAAGGTTTGTATGATTGAAATATTTTAGTTACTCAAAGTTATTTTGTAACTTGAAGTCATTATTTTCATGCTTTATTGTCACACACAATTTTTCCATTTGAAATTTTGGCCTTTGACTTATATTATACTTGATTTATTAATATATTTGGAAAATCCTAGACTAGTGACATTCATGATTTTAAGTGTTCATGTGTGACTCTTGAATATAACAATCTGTAGTTTTATTGAGTGAAGAATGAAACCATGTGAAATGTTCTGTGAGTTTAGCCTGTGGGCAGAGAATGTTATGTTAATAGCTCATTGTCCTACCTGACTTTCTGATATAGGTATATATAGGAACCCTTTTTTTAGTGTCTCTATATATCCTTATGAAAAACAGCATTGACTTTTTCAGAAATCCAGATGCTTGTCCTAGTTGATAAAAATGACGATGTCGGCTGGGCATGGTGGCACCTGCCTTTTATTCCAGCAGCTCGGAGGCTTAGTTAGGAGTATCGTAGGTTCAAAGCCAGCCTCAGCAACTTAGGCTCTAAGAAACCTAGTGAGACCCTGTCTCAAAATAAAAAATTAAGTGGGCTGGGATGTGATTCAGTAGTAAAACACCCCTGGGTTCAAATCTTTGTACAAAAAAAAAAAAAAAAAAAAGACAATGTGTAAGAAGACAATGGTTTTTAGTCTGAAATTGAAGTTTTGAATAAAGAAATGAGTGGAATATGATGTTTAGCACTGGACTGTTGTCAGTGAGTGTTTCTAAGTAATAGAAAAAAAATGGTCGATGAGGAGAAAAAAATGTGAAATGGAGGAAACTCTTCTGTGAGTTTTGAAGACGTGGTTAACGTGTTATTAAGAAACTCACAGAATTTACCTGAGACTTCATGGAAAAGAGACAAGGTGAGATCCAGAAGCCTCTACACGAATTTCTGGTGATGGTGGGATGTACGAAGGTTAAGTAGTCTTCCATTTAAAGTGTTCTAGTCTATAAAATGACTTACATAGTCACGTCAGGAGCTATATGTAGATTCATGTAGTTGATCTGCTAAATGCGTTTACAAAGTAATTTTTAATTTAAAATTTACAATTTAGAGTTTTCCTAAGAAATAGATTTGAATCTTCTTTTAAAACATTAATGCTAGAGTTTTATCATTGGTATCAAGGGGAAGGAGGAAGTTCTTTTATTTGGGTTCTTAAAATCCAAGGATTCAGGGCTGGGGTTGTGGCTCAAGTGGTAAAGTGCTCGCCTAGCACATGTGAGACACTGGGTTCGATCCTCAGTACCACATAGAAATAAAACATTGTATACACCTAAAACTAAAAAATAAAATTTTTTTTAAAATCCAAGGATTTATTAGTACTTAAAAACTTACAAATTTGAAAGAGTACAAAAGAAAATGCATATTTAACATGATTGTTATTTTATTTTTGTGTAATGATTTCATTAATGTCTGTTGGTTTCATGAGGTCAGGAACCACTTAAGTCATTGCTTCTTATTGTGTCCCTAGCAACAAACCATGACAGACATTAAGTAAACAATTGTTGAATTAATGAAAATAATCTTTTTTAAAAAAAAAAAGAGAGAGAGAGATGCAAATAACCATCAGGACTTGTCTCTTACCCACTCCCCCCCAAAAAAAAAAATCTTCTGGTCTCAAGGTTTCACTTTGTAATTAATTCTTCCTGAAAATTCAGTATTAAATCAGTCTTCAAGTATCATAATCCCAGCTTCCTTGCTCACTAT